TCTGTTGGCTTAGAAACTCCTTGGGAAGTTAGAGCAAGAACACAGATTAACTATAGAACAAAGTAGGTAATATAGCATAAGTGCTAGGTCAGTGGTACCCACACTGTTGTAAGTGGTCAAATGGGAGTGATTTTTTTAGCAAGATTCATCAAAGATAGTGTGTTTGGGCCAAGTCTGTAACAGCAAAAGTGAGAAATAACTTAAAAGTGAACCAGTAAGTATGATCTATATGTTGTGTACCAACATGGTATGATCTGTGATATATGCAGCCATAAAAAGTAAGATACAGTATTTGAAGTTTTTTTTTATTTTTGAGATGGAGTCTCTTAGTGTCATCTGGGCTGGAGTGCAGTGGCGCAGTCTCAGCTCACTGGAATCTCTACCTCCCAGGTTCAAGTGATTCTCCTGCCTCAGCCTCCCAAGTAGCTGGGATTATAGGTGTGTGCCACCGTGCCCAGCTGATTCTTCTGTATTTTTAGTAGAGACAGGGTTTCACTATGTTGGTCAGGCTGGTCTCAAACTCCTGACCTCAGGTGATCTGTCTGCCTCAGCCTCCCAAAGTGCTGGGATTACAGGCGTGAGCCACCACCCCCAGTCGTGTGTACATTTTCTAGACATTATCCTTTGTGTTCTTGTAAGTTTACCTAGACCATGACTGTGCACCAATAAAACTTCATTTACAGAAACAGGCAGTGGGTTGGATTTGGCCCATGGGCTAGAGTTTGCAGACTTTTGATGCAGCGTATACACTTAGGGTGAAATTAATTCACAATAATTAATGTGGATTCATGTTTGGAATGACCTTCTTGATACTTTTAAATTTGGGAGACCATCTTCATAGATCTGATTAATTTCTGACAAGCTCATTGTAGCTAAAGAAGGCCTCTAAGAGGAATAGGGAAAGTGCTAGTTCTGCCATTTTCTTGTTCACTTATAATTGCATCGGTATTATCATTATTTAACATAGTTTCTTTACAAAAATCTTTTTAAGCCACGTATTCATTTTGTATGCTTCAGTGAAAAATTGGCATGGTTGTAGAGTGTGCATGCACTTAATGCCACTGAACTGTACACTTAAAAATGGTTAAAATGGCTGGGCGCGGCGGCTCATGCCTGTAATCCCAGCACTTTGGGAGGTTGAGGCGGACAGATCACCTGAGGTTGAGAGTTCAAGACCAACCTGACCAACATGGGGAAACCCCCTCTCTACTAAAAATACAAAAATTGGCCAGGCGTAGTGGCACATGCCTGTAATCCCAGCTACTCAGGAGGCTGAAGCAGGAGAATCACTTGAACCCGGGAGGCAGAGGTTGCGGTGAGCCAAGATTGTGCCATTGCACTTCAGCCTGGGTAACAAGAATGAGACTCTGTCTAAAAAAAAAAAAAAAAAAATGGTTAAAATGATAAATTTTATGTCATGTATATTTTACTGCAATTTTAAAAAATTGATGTATAGCATGGATAGAATTCTTGTTAAGGAATGTCATGTTTTCCTCAGATCAGATCGCTCAAATATGGGCAACAGTTGGCTGGCATGGAACTTCATAAGGATCCTAGTTTCCATCAGTACATTAAAATTCATAAAATTTAATTTCTACTGTTTTTAGTTAAAGTAAAAAATAAATAGAATATTCAGTATCTTCTTCCTGCTTCCTGATGAGTCATTCCATCCACCCCTGGGGAAACACATACCCTCTGGAGAGTGAACACTGGAAAGAGACCTATTTCTAGGGTGTTTTTATTTAATATTGAGGCAGTACATCGGTAATCCTTTTTCTCTTATTCTTTCCTTGTCTGTGTATATTGCTAATGGTGTTATCCTGACCTTGTATTTTCATACCAATTCTTCCTAATCCAGCTCTGTTTTCTCATCTATATATATAAAATATGTATGTATATATTTTCATATATATGTAAGTGTATATGTATTCCTATACATACATATTTTTTTTTATTTTTATTTTATTATTTTGTTTGGAGATGGAGTCTCGCTGTGTCCCCAAGGCTGGAGTGCAGTGGTGCAATCTCGCTCTTGGCTCACTGCAACTGACACCTCCTGGGTTCAAGCGACTCTCCTGCCTCAGCCTCCCAGATAGCTGGGATTACAGGTGCACGCCACCATGCCTGGCTAATTTTTGTATTTTTAGTAGAGATAGGGTTTCACCATGTTGGCCAGACTGGTCATATACATGTATATATTGCCTAGGCTGGATGGAGTGCAGTGGTGTGGACTGTGGCTCACCGCAGCCATGACCTCTTGGGCTCAAGTGATCCTCCCATCTCAGCCTCCTGAGTAATCTCATCCATATTTCTTTCAGATCGGTCAAATACGGGCAGCAGTTTTATTTTATTTTATTTTTTAGCCAGGATGTGTTCTCATCTGATTTTTAATTTTTTTTTTAATAAAGATGGGGGTCTCACTATGTTGCCCAAACTGGTCTCGAACTCCTGGGCTCAAGTGATCTGCCCACCTTCGCCTCCCAAAGTGCTGAGATTTGGGCATGAGCCACTGTACCCAGCCCATCTCATCCGTATTTCTATGGCACTTTATATAAACTTCTTTGTAACTCTAATCACACTGTATTTTCTTTTTTTGTTGTATTTTTGTTTTTTGAGACGTAGTCTCACACTGTCACCCAGGCTGGAGTGCAATGGTGCCATCTCCGCTCACTGCAACCTCCATCTCCTGGGTTCGAATGATTCTCTTGCCTCAGCCTCCCGAGTAGCTGTGACACAGGTACCCGATACTACTTCTGGCTAATTTTTCTATTTTTAGTAGAGATGGGGTTTTCACCATGTTGGCCAGGCTGGTCTGGAACTCGTGACCTCATGATCTGCCGGCCTCAGCCTCCCAAAGTGCTGGGATTACAGGTGTGAGCCACCGCGCCCAGCCTTATATTGTATTTTCATTACTTGCCTATATATATTTCTATTCTATATTTATTTATCTTTGAGATGGAGTTTCATTCTTGTTGCCCAGGGTAGAGTGCAATGGCACAATCTTGGCTCACTGTAAACTCTGCTTCCTGGGTTCAAGTAATTCTCCTGCTCCAGCCTCCCAAGTAGCTGAGATTACAGGCTTGTGCCACCATGCCCGGCTAATTTTTTTGTATTTAGTAGAGACGGGGTTCCACCATGTTGGTCAGGCTGGTCTCCTGACCTCAGGTGATCCACCCTCCTCGGCCTCCCAAAGTGCTGGGGGGTAAGCATAGAATTAAGAACTTGCTTTAATAGTATCATCCTGCAAGCTTCAGGTTATAAGACCAGGCCTTCTTTTACTCTGGGGGTATTTTTTTCTTAAACAGCTGCCAGACATTCAGACTCAAACTGAAGCAGGATATTTCCCTTCCCTGACTCCTTCACAGGACTCATGACAGGGGTGCCTTATTTACTCAGCCCACTGCTCTCAACTCCTTGCAGAAGGGAGTAGGTGAGTGAATGGGGCAGGAACTGGAGTGCTGGAACTGGCTGGCTGTTTCAGTGCAGGTGGGATCAAACTCCACTCACTCAAACCTGCGTGTTCTGCCCCTCGTGGGAGGGAGTGCACAGGTGAGCAGGTGCAGGAGCCAGAATGAGCACTTTTGGGTGCCAGCAGGAGTGAACTCTGTGCAGGCCATGTGGCAGCATCTAGGTGGAAAGCCTGCGACTCCTGAAGCCCCAGAGGGTGTGTTTTGGTGCTCTTTTAGCTCTGCTATCCGCAGGTGGCTTAAGTGTTAACAGCTGAGTGGGCCTGCAGCTGCCCTCTGCCAGTGAGGGCAAAGGGCCAGTATGACAGCCTTTTGTATCTGTACTCATGGCTGCTGAGCTTTTGTCCAGTGTCCAGGAAAAATAGGTCACATGAACGAATTAAAAGATGGTAAACATGGGTGATCTGATTTTTATTTATGTGGGAAGGGGAGCTAAAAAGGGGACAGTGGGTGGTGGGTAGGTAATTTTCCCCTGAAGTCTGGCTGTCTCCGGCTGGATTCTTCTCCACAGTTATGCAGTCAGGCTGTCCTTCTGAAGTCAAGCCACTTCTCTGTGACATTCAGCGGTGGTCTCCAGTGTCCAGCTGTTTCTCATCTCTGCTGACTGAGTCTGGGGTCTTTACAGGCACAGGATAGGGTGGGGGCCATCGGTGGTTTAGGAAAAGGCAACATTCTCCTGGGAAAACAGGGATATAAATTCTCATGTTGGGCCGCAATCTCAGGCTTTTGGCTTGAGGGTGAGGCTTCGCCAGGGACCTGCCTCTAGAATTTCTCTGCCTCCTATCTCTTTCACTGTATGAAAACCACCATGCTATATTCTTACTCTTCCTCTTATTTGCTGATAGTAAGTTGTCAGAAACGCTTTTGTCATTACCAGTTTCCTTATGAGGGGGAGAATTGGTGAAGATGTCCAGGGAGTACTGCTTATTTCATATTCATTAACAAGTGCAATCTCGGCTCACTGCAACCTCCGCCTCCCGGGTTCAAGCGATTCCCCTGCCTTAGCCTCCTGAGTAGCTGGGACTACAGGTGCGTGCCACCATGCCTGGCTAATTTTTTGTATTTTAAATAGAGAGGGTTTCACCATGTTGGCCAGGACGGTCTTGATCTCCTGATCTTGTGATCCACTCGCCTCAGCCTCCCAAAGTGCTGGGATTACAGGTGTGAGCCACTGCGCCCAGCTGTGTGTATGTGTTTTGAGACAGTTTCTTGTTCTGTTATCCAGGCTGGAGGGCAGTGGCATGATCATAGCTCACTGCAGCCTTGAACTTTTAGGCATAAGCGATCCTCCTGCTTCGGCTTCCCAATGTGGGATTATAGGCATGAGCCACTGTGCCGAGATTGGGTGATGTTTGAAACCTATTATTTCACATGAGATTTATTGTTTGCTGCTTAATGTGATTTAGCAATACTGACCTTTACCATTTTCACATTGGTTCCTGTAACACTCCACAAAGGACTGATGTATGGTATTTTCCACTCCCTGAGCACTTTCTGTGGATACACTGATTTTAGTCCCTATTTTTTCTCCAGGGTCATCTAGTAGCAGGCACCCAAATCAAGCAACTCCAAAGAAAAGTGGTGTAAAGAATGGCCAGATGAAGAATAAAGATGACGAGTGCTTCGGGGATGATATTGAAGAGATCCCAGATACAGATTTTGATTTTGAAGGGAACCTAGCTCTTTTTGACAAGGCAGCTGTGTTTGAGGAGATCGATACCTATGAAAGGAGAAGTGGTACCCGTTCCCGCGGCATCCCAAATGAAAGGCCTACTCGGTACCGCCATGATGAGAACATCCTGGAGTCAGAGCCCATTGTCTACCGACGGATCACAGTGCCCCACAATGTGAGCAAGGAGTTCTGCACAGGTGAGTTGCACCAGGTCCCACATCCTACTGGCTGCTGTTGCCTTTCTACTAAGTTTGAAACAGAAAGACCTGGCTTCTGAGTCACAGTCTCACACTAGGAATTAACTTACATGGCTTGGTGGCTGGCCTAGTATTATTATCTTTTGGGGATTGCATCCAGTAACAGCATTCTGCCATGGTGCAGGGATAATCCCTCCACATGTGTGTTTATATCCTGTATCTAGCAGGATCTGGCCTGCTACTTATTTAGTGTGTTGTCAGTAACAACCAAAGGCAAAGAGCCTACTGTGTAGAGTCAGATATTCAGATCGATTTTCACTCTGGCATCCCTATTACTACCCATATATTTCACCAGAATTCAACTCTGTTTTACCTTTGTTGCAAAAAAAAAAAAAAAAAAAAAAAAAAAGTTAAAGATGGATGACAGGAATCATTGACTAAAAATAGAGTTTTAATAAATTACATTTTCTTACTATGTTATTCTTATCTCCTGTTAGCCCAGGACATTGAAAGTTGGCTAATTTCATGTAGTGCCTTCTGTATGTCATTGTAGATGATCTAGTTCTATTACCCCAGTGATAATTGTTTCTTTTTTTAGCATTAGAACCTTTTCTTCAAACCTATGGCGTATTAAACAGAGTAGAGCAGCTATGAGAGAGGTAATTCACCTCATCCCTGTCACATCTCTTCCAGCCAAACCACATTACTTCTTGGAATATGGTTTGAAAACCACTGTCATTGAATGATCCTAAGAGCTAAAGGGGAAATCTGAATCAGTAAGTTGAGAAGGAATTGAGGATAATATTTCTATTTTGGTTTGAAGTTTGGAATATAGAGAATTTAAATCTTCAGTGCTGATAGCTGCTATAAAAAGAACTGTGGATACAGCTAATTTCATTTGGAGGAAAGTCAGACATGGCTTTTTATAGGTAATAGTAAGACTGTTGTATTTGATTTTGCTGAGTATAGTAGCTTGCATGTGCTTTCCATGTGAAAAAAAAAATAGGCTAACTGTCAGGCTAAGAAAGACAGCTAAAATAAAAATAAAAATAAACAAGACTGCTAGCCTGGGCCCAGTGGCTTATGCCTGTAATCCCAACAGTTTGGGAGGCCGAGGCAGGCGATCACCTGAGGTCAGGAGTTCAAGACCAGGCTGGTTGACGTGGTAAAACCCCATCTCTACTAAAATACAAAAATTAGCTAGGCATGGTGGCACACGCCTGTAATCTCAGCTACTCAGGAGGCTGAGACAGGAGAATTGCTTGAACCCAGGAGGCAGTGGCTACACTGAGCCGAGATGGCACCACTGCACTCCAGCCTGGGTGACAGAGCAAGAGTCCATCTCAAAAAAAAAAAAGTGCTGAATTTTGTCAGTCTTTTGCTGGCAGATTCTAGTAGGCCTGCCTCTTTACTAAGGTGGTTTCCTTAAGTGGCATGACAGTGTAACTTGCCGAAGTCCTTTGATTTTCAAGACCTGTGTAAACAGCCTAGCTCAGAATCAGGTTTAACTTAAATTGCTGTTTTAAGCCTTTCAAAGGCAGTTATCATCTGTTAAGTCTGCTATTCCTCCAGGTCAGCCAGCTTTCCACCTCTGACTGCTTCCTTTTTTACTGCCCACATTGTAAGAGAAACTGCTCCTGCTGCTAGCACTCTGTATCTGTAGTCCAAGTGCTGCTGCTGAGGCTGCTGGATTATGCAGTGTGTGATTTCCCTGGAACTATTTAGACTGCAGGATTTTTTGGACTGGGGAAGATTATGATCTGCCCCGGAGTCAAGTGGCTAAGAGTAAGAATAACAGAATCAGGAAGGATTCTCAGATCTAATAGAACCTGAGAAAATATTTGCTAACGTGGACAAAAGCAGAGGTAGAAATTTTTTCCTGCTGCACACTCCAGCTCCCCAACTTGATCCTCTCACCTCTTTTTAATGGCTGAAGTGCAAAGTTCTCTCATATAAAATGATTTTCCTATCAATAAACATAATACAAACCACATGTGCTGGTCCTTTGCCATAAACTTGGGTGTGGCATTTGTGTGTAGTGACCAGTTGCACTCCACTGGTTCGTGACAATAAGGGGGAAAGAAGCCAGGAGCTTCATGCCATCTGGTTTTTCTCTTTGTTCTTAACAGTGACAAGGAGTGGAAAGGAAGCCCTTTTGCCAAGCACTGTCTATGCTAGAAATAGAGCAAGCAGGCAGTTATTTATCTTGCCGAGCAGCTTCTCCTACAGGGGGTTCTTCTCTGTTCTAGCCCCAAGGTGCAACCCTCAAGCAGGTTTTCATTGAGGGGCAGGCAATCAGCACAGAGCTGGGGACACTTTCTCCAGTGGATCTGCCATCCAAACGTTTGGCTCAAAATAAGGCAAACTAGAATATATAGAGAAAGAGTCTAAGACCATAAAATGTCAGTGTTAGGTGAGTTGGTCACCTAGTATAACTTTCTCATTTTATAGATGAGGACATGAGGCCCAGAGAGGCAAAGGCTTTTTTTTTTTTTCTTTTTCTTTTTTTGAGACAAAAGTCTCGTTCTGTCACCCAGGCTGGAGTGCAGTGTCATGATCTTGGCTCTCAGCTCACTGCAACCTCCCCGTCCAGGTTCAAGCGATTCTCCTGCCTCAGCTTCCTGAGTAGCTGTGATTACAGGTACCTGCCACCATGCCCAGCTAATTTTTGTATTTTTAGTAGAGACAGGGTTTCTCCATGTTGGCCAGGCTGGTCTCAAACTCCTGGCCTCAAGTGATCCACCCACCTTGGCCTCCCAGAGTGCTGGGATTACAGGCGTGAGTCACTGTGCCCAGCTGGTAAAGGATTTTCTAAGCCTTACCCACTGGCCAGGTGATGTAACCCGTGAGGTTGAAGGCTTCAGTGAGCCAATGTCATGCTGCTGTACTCCAGCCTGGGCGACAGAGCCAAGCCCTGTCTAAAAAACAAAATGAAAAAAAAAACCTTATCCATCACATCTCCCTTTCTCTTCTAAATGTGAATTAAAAGGAGGAAAAATATAAGAGAAGGGCAGTTTTATGGCAAATAGACTACAGACAGTCCCCCAATTTACAGCGGTTAGACTTACTGTTTTTTGACTCTAGGATGATGTGAAAACAATACTCATTCAGTAGAAACTTGTTCAAATTATGAATTTAGATATTTTCCTGAGATAGTGATACACGGGTCTGATATTCTCCAATGCTGGGCAGCAGCAAGAGCCACAGCAGTCAGCCATGCAGTCATGAGAGTAAACAGCCCGTATTCTACAGTGTACTGTGTTGCCAAATGATTTTGCCCAACTGTAGGCTAATGTAAGTGTTCTGAGCAGGTTTAAGGTAGGCTAGGCTAAACTGTGATGTTTGTTTGGTAGGTTAGGTGTATTAAATGCATTTTCAACTTAGATATATTCAATTTATGATAGCTTTATTGGGATAAGACCCATTGTAAGATGAGAGACATCCCTGTAGTCTTTTCTGTTTAGACTGCACTCTCTCAGGAATGGACCAGCAGTTTACAGAAGTAACTTGGAGAGCTCCCGCAGTCTGGTCCCCAGAGTAGCAAAAGAACAACATGTTTATTACCTAATCGGTGATGGCTTGGGATTTAGGATTCTGGCAGCTTGCTGCTGGTGCCCTGAGTACTGACTTCATGCTAAGTGGTGTCAACAGTACATAAGCTATTATTCACTAATTGCTCATACTCCTCTTGGCAGTACTCTTTGCCAGCTGTGTGTGTTGTGATGGGGAACAGTGTTGTTTTAGGTCTGTTGATGGGGAAGACACATTCAGGAAGCAACTAAATTCAGCTCTTTGTTTTTTCTCTCTGGAAAGTCCTTTCAGGTTCTTTGGCAGGGCTTCTGTCTCCAGCAGTCATGGATCATCAGACATTTCTCTAGCTCGGGCCTGCCCGCCAAATGATGGTGTTAGTGGTCACGCTCTGGATTGGTCAGGGTCTTTCTGGATCTAGACTTGTAATTTGAAATCCTTCGAAAACAGATTCTGTGTGCATGTACACACATGCACATGTGTTAAGTTTAAATATAAAACACTAGATGTGTGTGAGCACTGTGTTCAGTGTTGAGAACTCCCCAAAGAATACTGCTTAGGAAAGTGGTAAGGCTTCAGAGAAGAATCTTTATTCAACACTCATAATACTGGTTTTTACATTTTTTTTTAATTTTATTTTTTTTGAGACACAGTCTCACTCTGGTGTCCAGGCTGGAGTGCAGTGGTGTGATAGCGGCTCACTGCAACCTCTGCCTCCCAAGTTCAAGTGATTCACCTGCCTCAACCTCCTACATAGCTGGGATTACAGGCGTGTGCCACCATGCCCATCAAATTTTTGTATTTTTAGTAGAGACATGGTTTCACCATGTTGGCCAGGCTGGTCTTGAACTCTTGACCTCAGGTGATCTGCCCACACTGGCCTCCCAAAGTGCTGGGATTACAGGCATGAGCCACCTCGCCCAGCCTAATGCTCATTATATTCTAAAGGAAATATTTTAAGACAGTTTGGGTCAGTCAGAACACTGTGTTTATTATGTGTAACTGACTCTAAGATAGTCCTTGCCTTTAAGTTATAAAAATGTAATAGGAGATAGAAAGATACTGTATGTGCCCAGAATCCAGTGAAAGTGTGGACATTAAGTGCACTAGGTTTTGAGAGGCAGAGGAGGTCCTGTAGGCTGCATCAAAGAGGGCTTCATGATGGTAGCCTTGAAGCATGGGCAGGATTTCACCAGGCAGAGAGAAAGGAGGATATTTATGAGTAGACGAGGCAGGTGCTGGTGAAGTGTGAGTAAAGGTCATGTGGGAGACTGGTCATTAGTTGGCTTGGCCAAGGCAGAGAGTTTGTGTTGGGGAGTAGAAGGAACTAAAATACAGCTGTGGACCAGAGCACAGAGGGCCTTGTGTGCCAGTGCTATGTTTATCCTATAGTCATGGGGAATAACTGAAGGATTTTGGATAGGAAAATGATATGATCTCTTTTAGGAAGGCTGGTCTTGTGGTAGGATCCC